CTTTCTGGAAGCTTTCGAATTTCAGGCTGCATATCGCATAATTTGATAATCATAACGAACATCGCTGGAAAACCCCGGCTCCCTGTTGTGGCCTTGCTGGCTGCTTAGTTTTAATGGCGATACCCTCTCCCTACGATCTCAGTGAACCTTTCTGACCAGAATACATCCAGAGCCACCTTGAAGGCGTTAACGCCTGTCGGAACCCTGTTCGACCATTGGTACAATCCTTTATGAGACTAATTTGGCCTAGACTTTCACTGGAGTCTAAAGCTATGAGCTTTCGTGCTTCAAGCACAAGACGTTGTAAATAATGCGCTTTTGTGGGGACCTGGTAAGCCTTTTTCAATTTTAAAAGTGTCAATCATGTATCTGCTTACTCGTCTACATTCCAGTAAGAAAAGAGATTAGCATTGTGTTTCTCCTGCACGTATTCTGAAATATGCAGATGCTCTCGTGCTGTGCCAACTCACCTCTGCTTACACCCAAGTACGCCCCTTCACCGATAATCTTGAGCAAATTCAGTCATTCCCCTCCTCATCGGGACTAACGTTAAAGCCCACTAAATGTGGTGAGTTTTTATATAACTCTGCTCGCTCTCCATATCCGACAGACCACACGGTGATTAGCAACAATCCTTTATCGAGCTGTGAACTGTGTCAAATATCTTGGTATAACGGTAGATAGCAATCTTCATTGGTCTACCCACACCCACAACTGCACTGGTGATCTGCGGCGTCTATCATTTCAAATACGAAAACTCAGACAGTTTCACGCATTCCGGACAGTTATTCCTACCTTTGTTTATCAGTGTGTTTTCCCCCATCTTGCTATATTGTGTCCCAGGTATTTTCATGACTTAAACAGGATTTCGAAGTTTTACGCCGTGGTCTACCCATTATCATCCGTGTTACTTCTATTCCTGTGAACGCATTAGCTGTGAGGCTTTCGGATTAGCATAAAACGTCTTGTTTGTAAATTTCGGAGAGGATTCTCACAGATCTTGGCCACCCATTGCACAGAAAACTGACATGTTGTTCCTATCATTAGTGATTCATTAGTGATATTCCGGCCCCAGCCCCATGCGCACATCCTAAAGTATGCTCACCACGTTGTTTTGTGTTTGACAATTTCATCCACTTCGGAATTCGATGTTTTCACTGGGGATCTACCCCAGATTCGACATCTTTTAGACCAATCTGGTTTCAATCTTAGCACATCTAACTGCTTCGAGAGTGTGTCGTGAGTCTTTTCTGATCCTCATTTACAACGAACTCTGCTACCCTCAGATGGAAACCTCTGCCCAGAATGAACTCAGTGAAGTACCAAGGATTTTCATCGACAGTAATCTCCGGTTGTCTACACACACCCACAATTGTATGGGAAAACTGCGACACCTATGTTTTCAATTAAGCAAAATCAAGCGATTCCAAACTACACAATCAGTTTTGTCCTCTGTCATTCGTCAATGCGTTTTCCCCATTTTGCTCTACTGCTCCACATTAGTGTTTCACGGTCTTTGTAAACAAGACTTCGGAACCGTTCGTCGTGTTTTGATATCATCAGCCGTATAGCATTGTTCTCGATCGATTCATTAATCAGAGAACTCATTGTTGGTCACATCAACTCTGTTGAAAAAATTTCGCTTCGCAACGAATCCCACTGGATTGAACACCGGCTAGATTTGATCCGGCCACATTCAGATCATCCGTGAACATGAATCAGGGATTTTGGAGATCCGGTGTCAATCCGTTACTATAAATAAGAAAATGAGTAGCGGTCTTGACACTGAAATTCGGGACATTCCGCTGTTCAGCCCTTCAGGTTTGCTGATGACACTAAGACACCTTCAAACCGGACGTGTGATTAATGAAAAATCTCACGGCCCAATTTCTTGCAGAAGTCAAGGTAACAGAGTGCCACCTTCCGACCTTTATCCGGCCCTCTAGTGACCTCATCCAAAAGGCCTCATGTTGGGCTGATATCAACAAATTTCGGGTGGACAGTGCCTACATATTTGCTTCCCGATGAACCGTTCCACGGGTGTGCACAGATCAGAGATCAGGTTAATCCACTGTTGGCAGTTGTTACTCTGTGTCCCCATCTGATTTGTATCGTGCAACTGCTGTTACCAATTTTCTGGCAATAATACCCGTCGTTAAAGGTTCTCCAAAGATACTTGTTATCGGATACCTCTAAAATTCGCGGTATTGGCCGAACTAAACCTGGATGCATTCCATCCGATTTCACAGCATTATGCTAATTTAACGATGCAAGCGCTCTGGGTAACTCAGTATCTTTGATCACTAGTTCACTAATTGTCAGGGGTATATGACAGTAAAAAGGCTCAGTGGTTGTTCACTTTATGTTGACTTGTTGTGAAAATGGTACCTTCGATTATCTCCAAGGGGCTCACACTCTCCTTTAAGTTTTTGTTGACATTCCTCGTATGCCGAAAACCTTTTGAGATTATTCTTAATGTGCCGTGCCAAATTAATTTCGCAAGCCTATTTTTCCTCGCGTTATAGGGCCTGTATCTTATTATATACCTTCCTGTATTGGCATCAGTTCTGATGCCTTCCCAATATCCTATAGTTCACCCATTTCTCCTGTGTATCAGCAGTGCCTTATGCAACCTGGATTACCACACCTGAAGTGAGGCGGGGCAAACACGTTCATTAGTATACACCCATGGTCCTGCCTTTGCGGGAAGGCAGGATCCAACTTTGGTCCCTCAACGCTGTGAGACTTTTGCTACACCTCACGGTTTCGCCCTGGGAGATACGGCATCCGAGGCTACCACACTTGAATACGATGCCGAATCGATCATACGCGGAAAGATGCCCGCTCACGAACACGACACCGAGGAAGATGAAGTGTACAAGCGTTCACCTCAAGATGATGTTCAAACCAACACTTGTCTTCTGTGTCGCTGAACAGCGAGTTCATCCGATGAAAGTTATTCACTGTTCCCTTTCCTCTCTTTTAGATGGGCAAGTGTATACTATAACAGAGGTTGGTGCGATCGAGACGAGAAAGTGGGTGGTGGTGACGCAGTGGTTTAGTCACTGTCACCGGCGTGCTTTGGGCCCTATGGTCCGGAGTTCGAGCCTCGCCAACGCTACACGACTTTGGTGGTAGGCAGCTTTGTTGTCGTCCGGTTCAATACCACGCATAACCTATTGGGGTGTTATATGGTTCGCCACTCCAAGTCCCGGGGCTTAGGTTACCGGTTTCCATCACCGAACAGCAGGTCCTCATGACATGGGGTCTGCCCTGTCTGCTGTTCATCACACAAACGTGTGTAATAAAAAATAAAAAAGCACATGTATATCTGCCTCATTCTCATCTCACCGATCGATGTCCAACTGTCGCCTGCCTGTTATTCAGATCACCCACTCCGCTGGTGCATGTTAAGCCAACTGATCCATACGTTTATAGCACCTTAACACCACTCTGGCTTCCGGCATTCCGTGCTTCATCAACAACAGGAATCTTGACACCAGAAGATCCCTCCTACCCAGTGGTTCTCCTACATACATCGTGCTTGCATCTGACGAGTACCTTGTTAATATTGTACCTCACCCAAATTCAGTAGCGTACATAACACGTGTCAGCTCGTGGTAGTGTATTCATTCGTGAATCGTTTCCAGCTAGGAATGGCAGTTTTACGTGCATCCACCCAGTTAATCTCAGGGAGACTGAAGTCCCAAACTATGCTAGGAATTATCAGATAACTGCAAGCAGTTTCATGTTCTTGTTCAAAGTAGTCTGCGATGTTCTATACGCTCACAGTTTATCGAGGGACCTTTTAACTCAATGAACGTTTTGTGTTTAGGCCTGCATATTGGGTGTGGCTAAGGTTGCTTGCTCGTTCCACTGGCTGATACCCGTATCAACTGATAACAACAACCCATCTCCTTGTGTACCCTCTTCTCCATCCAGTCGTGAGACTACATGGTTACTAGAGCATCTATGGCATCCGTGTTTCTGATCGCTGTGATAACTGAATCCTGCATACAATCCTCCATTACGCCCAAAGCAGCGTTTTACTGAATGCGTTGGAGTACTACACCCGATGGTGGTCTACGCCTGCTTCCGATGGTGATTGTGCGACAGTTCAGGGGAACCCTCTGAGGTAGGGAATGACAGATCACTTCCGTTATTGACTTCCTCTTCCACAGGCTGCATCACTACCAACCCAGTTGAACAGGTGACTTCTCTGGTAGCTAAGCCATCGTTCTCGTCTACGCTTTTGACGTCGAAAGCCTCAGTATGGTCAGGGGTGGATGACTAGGGTTGCGGCTGGTTACCCTAGCTTTGCACCTCACCAAATGCTCCCATACGACCAAGCATCTTCAATAGTCTCTACTGAAGAAACCCTACTCACTAACTTCTGGTGGCGGTGTTTTCCTAACTAAGTGAGATGACGAAAAGCCTATATCTGGGGCTATAACCGGGTTGATGGATCACTGGTTTGGCTAAAAGCTCTGATTCCAAACCAACCGTGAGGAGAAGTATGAACCACACACATCTTTCCAGTTGTGCCGGCTGTGGTCACCGGCTTGACTGGTCATCGAGGTGTATTGTGCACCTTTGACACTTGACCCCGTCCAAAGGGCGCATGATCCGATTAACTGGATACCACCCCCTCCTGAAGGAGGGTTTCGGTGCAGTTTTCGCACACAGCGCCCCGCAGCCTTACGGGTCAGGCTTTGGCTAGCCAATGGCTCCGGTTGTGGATTCCGCAAGAAAATTCACCTGCCCTGACCTGGGAAACCTGGCAGTATTCGGCATGCAAATCATAGAGGTTTTTCATACAGATTTTTTGCACCAGGATTTGTTTGGCACACAAACTGGCGTCAGAGGTGGATGAAGTAGAATAATTTCGCCGTCGAACCATTTGTACGCTGTTATGCTATTTGCCTGAGCTGGCTGATTCATCCATTTGATGTTTTAGCCACAATATTTGCCCAGATCTCCGTCGGTAAAACTTCCATCCCTGAACAATTGACTGGATTTCGGTCTATCCTTTGCTTCCCTATTCTCATTTTCCATTGTCTCTATTGTCACCGACCATTTCCCCCACACGTTGAATATTTTGCGTGGCTTCTCTGCCCAACCCTATTGGTCCGAGGTGATGACTCGCCTATAGTTAGGATAACTAGGTATATCTCCGCAGACCTTATCTTTCGCTTACCCGATTAGGGACTGGGTTTCGGGTCTCACCTTCTCTGCTATACCTGTTAAATAACCACCTGTCTAAGATTTAATTCTTCCTTTACTAATCGGATCTTTTTTGAATGCCTTCTTTACTGCCTCATTATCCGGGATTACTTTGACACCTCCTCTTGTGTTTACTTCTATTCCGATGCCTTTGCCAGCACCAGATCCCGAACATAGGTACTGCTAAAGAACACCAGTATGGGTCTTGGCGGTTCCAATCTCAAATCCCTTAATAATCCAACATGTAAACATTTTACGTGGTGCATGGTAGGACCTGTCCTCGGTCAGCCTCGCGACAGCGTATGCTACCCAGTGCGATAGACTCGGCGATGTTTTGCCGGAAAATGGGTTTTGCCTTGCATAACAGCACTTCCCGGATATTTTACTCCCTTCGAATTCCATCTGTGTAGCAAAGGCAATTGTTTCTTTTGTACCCTTTGTGATTTGTATTTAGCCTTTTCTGTCAGCCTAATCTTATCTTCAAGCTAGGCTGTGATGGTATCCGTTATCATCGTCCCCACAAACACTCCATTGCTAAGGAAACAAAATGGTTACAGATCCAATTTTAGAGGTGAGAGCTGCCTGTTGAGTAAATAGTCCTGTGTTCGTAGAATATAGAGACTCGTGAATGATTCCATGCTCTGCACTGAATCTCATTTTGGACTCGCTCCTGGCATTGACTGATAACACTTGAGTCTCTCCTGGGTACTGTATCACCTGTAAAAAGTGAAATCGAGAAACATTTTTGCCAACAGGAACTTAAATAAGGAACATAGGAGCATAGTGTTGCTTAATTTTTTTCCGGAAACAATTCAATATATCTCTTCAGGTACGTACCATATTCGAAAAATATAATCAAAACCAACAAATACCCGTTACCGTGGATGTGCTGCTGATGTTAAATTTCTCCATCTTTCTACCAAGGCGAGGCTAGAGTTACAAATCCGTTTTCCTGATCGCAGAGCTCAGGCTACCATCCATTTGTAGCAATCGCCTCTTTTAATTCGATCACTCGAGGGTTGTGCTTGATGAGAACGCTTTTGAATGCCGTGGTCATATTCACTTGTCCGGTCTATGGCACATGTGACGAACGATCGATGAGGCTGGTGTGCGGCGTTTGGTCGACTTCTGCCGTTGATCGTTCGAGTGTTATTCGTTCATCAGTTTGTTAACCCACAAGGGATGCGTTCGGTTGCTGTTTGTTCAATCTGCCACTCGGTCCTGCCTGAACATGTAGCTGGGAACTCACAAACGAATTGTTTCAATTGATGGGATTTGGTCAACAGCGAAAGGGGTTACTTGACTGGACGAGGCGGTATGCTGTCGCCTACGTAGACAAAAGGTGGTTGGGCTATGTCGAATGTTCGGTTAGTGGACGAGCTTAAGCGGTGCTCTTAACGCATTACTCACATCGCCACCATTGAACGCGAAATGTAGAACGAACCTACACTTCAGTACGGATGTCAGTAGCTCTACACTTTCAGACGTTCAATGCTATAGCTTTTAATGAACCAACTCGGGTAAAAATTATCCTGGAGAATGCTATTCAGTTTTGGCATTTTGTCTGCGAGGTTATCAGGTGTGCACGGCCCTCAAGTGTCCGTACTGGTCCACGTATGTAACTGATAGGGATGAAACCAGTTTTGTGTGAATTCGACGAACAGATCGAACAAGACATCCGTCTGTCCTCCGCTGTAGCGTTACATCTGTGGACCTCGTTAATCAATTGCTCCAAGATCGGTGAGAAAACAACGAGAGACGGTACGCGTAAGTTCCTGACCTCGCTAAACCATTCGAAGGATCAAGACAACATCCGCAGCCCAGTCCAATGGATATATCGCCAAACTGTCTCCTATCTAATTAAATCCCGACTAAATCGAGGTATTAGCATGTGGACTGAAATACTGCGTTGCATCAAGGAAAAGGAACAACCGAATCCCAGTTCCGCCTCGAATGCCTCGTGGATGAGCTATCAAAACTGCAACCAACATTAAGTGAACCATTTACTTGCCTCAGTAAATCTGGTAAACCTGGAACATCAATACAGATGCATACCTTCAAGTGGGAGTTGTTTGCTGACCAAGACACACATAGAGTCACCTATACAGACTCAGACTAAACGAAAACGTGATAATGTTGCAACCAGATAAAGGGATCAGGTGTAACTGTAATGGATGATAGATTTTGTATTGTATTATTTTTGTAACCATTGTCGATTTCAACTTTCTGCGGGATACACTACAGTGAAAAATCCCAATTAAAACTAGCGGAGTACCGGTTGCCGTGGATGAAGTGTTGGTGTTAAACTCGTCCAGATTTCTAGCAAGGAGTTACAAATAACTCCTCCAACTTGCACAGTTCAGGTGTTCATCGCTTTATAGCAATCGCTTTTGCAAAAGGAGCAACCAAACATTTTGCGTGAATGCTATGGCTACATCATCGACTGAGTGGAGTTATCCTATGGGAAAATTGAAGCAAATGGTCTTTGTGCACATCAATATTGTTCTTGTCAATTCAGGCAGTGATTGGAAGTCTTATGTGTTTTTATTGCGCGAAGTCACAAATTTATCTCACAGTTTCTTTCAGAGGCACGTTGGTAAACAACGATCCCTCATCCATGCGATTAGACATGTGTTTGTGTTGCACATTGATCGGGTTTATATGTTCCACCAACTGGAAGCTGTCCGTCACACTGTGAACACAGAATTCT